CAGGCCATTTGGCTCATTGACTCCACACCCACCCTCCGAAGAGCATCCTACCCGAACCCACATCCCTACCCTATCCCTATAGCCCTGAATTTCCCGTGGCTAACCCATCTAACCTGCCCATCCCTGGGCACAATGGCCAATTGACTTACACGTCTTTGGACTGTTGAAGGAAACTGGAGCATCCAGAGGAAACCCATGCAGACTTGGGGAGAAGGTGCAAACTCCACACAGTCACCCGAGGGTGGAATTGAACCTGGGTCACTGGAGCTGACAGGCAACAGTACTAACCACTGAGCCACCGTGCCGTTTAGAAGGAGGTCCTTGCAAAAGCTAAGTGAGGAGAGCAAAGGTTCCTGCTGAGGGTAGAAATAAATAAATCTGACAACCTTTAAGAACAGATAGCATGCGATAGGAGGATGAGGTGCCTTCATATCTGGAAGAGTCAACAGTATAAAAAAAAAGGATAAGATATCTATATGCGAGAACCGAGACAAACTTTTGCAGCTGGGGTCAGGGAACCTGACAAATATAACGGAGTGCTTGGGAGAGGCAGTTGTTGAGCAGTTCTAAAGAATGACCCAAAACCAGATTCATAGGAGCCTAAAAAAAAATAGGTGCAGGACTAAGCCATTCAGCCCTTCAAGCCTGCACCACCATTCAATATGATCATGGCTGATCTTGCAATTTCAGCAGCCCATTCCCACTTTCTCTCCATACTCCTTCATTCCTTTAGCCGCAAGGGCCGCCTCCAGATCCCTCTTGAATATATCTAACAAACTGGCCCCAGTGCTTTCTGTGGTAGAGAATTCCAAAGATTCATAACTCTCCGAGTGAAGAAATTCCTCCTCACCTCAGTCCTGAATGGCTTACACGTTATTCTTAGACTGTGCTTCCACTCCATTGGAATCAATACACTCATTGACATTGAAATGATATGGTGACAAGGCTTGTTACCAAATGAGCCTAACCTTTAGGACAGAGTGGATGGCTAATAGGAGGCTGGGACAATGTAAGGAGTTACTGACAGTGAAATGGAAAGAAGGAAAAGTCAATCCTCAGAGCTCAATGGGCAGCTACTACAACTGGGGAGGGGAATGGCACAGATTATAAAGCTGCTTCTGTGTGGTTGCAGCCAGGAATTTTTAGGTTAAAAACATAAGGAAGTCCAGGAGGGCTTGAGTCTGGCATAAAGATAGGAAGGACAATACCAGGCGAATATTGTGAAGCTACGGTCAATGATCAATATCAGCTTGATGCAGGAAGAGGAACTTTTCAATAATGGCCAGAAAATGGTGGCAGCTAAAAGAGCTTGTGTTAATTGGGATCCTGTCCTGTTTGATTTGATCAGCAGCAGAATGTTCAGGGTCAACAACTTCAACCACCTGCCACAGCATATTCACAGGAGCGGTTCAGAGTAAAAATGAGGCCTCCGGTAAAAGCCGCCAGTGACCTACTTATAGTTCAGAGGTCGCAGCCTGATTATATCATTTTTGGCACTTCTTTTTTCGCCATATTCTCTGCTGCCTCTCCACCAAACAAAAAGAAAACCAAAGAGCTGCAGATTCTGAAAATCAGAAACAAAAGCAGAAATTGCTGGAAGAACTCAGCAGGTCTGGCAGCATCTGTGGAAAGAAAACAGAGTTAACATTTTGGGTCCAGTGAGCCTTCCTCAGAACTGATGGTAGCGAGGAAACGTTTGGTATATATAGTGAAGGTGGGGGCTGGGGGAATAAATGTTATGTGGAGGTGGAGCCCAGAGAGAGAGAAAAACAGTTCGACAGACAAACAAGTGGGTAACGGTTAGCCTGGGAGAATCAGTTCAGTAGAATAGATCGAGTGAAGTGCAGGTATGACCCATATTCGCTGTTCACAATATGGTCCCCTCTACATTGCAGAAGCAAAGCTCAGGCTGGGAGAACGCTTTGTGAAACACCTACGCTCTGACTGCAAGAATGACCCTGAGTGTTCAGTTGCCTGCCACACCAACACACCACCATGTTCCCAGGCCAACGTCTCTGTCTCAGGCTTGCTGCATTGCTCCAGCAAAGCTCAAAGATAGCTGGAAGACCCACATCTGCCTGGGGACCCTGCAGCCTTCTGGACTCAATATTGAGTTCAATAATATCTCTCATGTCCTTACCCCAATGCCCACCCAACAGGCCTTGTCATCACCTGAGCTGCTATAACTAACAACCAATTGTCAGCTACTAATAATCCCCATTAGCAGCTATTCATTCATTCAGATTCACCTTCACCCATTCCTTTGTCTATCCAACTGTTTTTCTCTCTCTTTGGTCTCCATCTCCACTTATCATTTACTCCTCCCACCCCCTCCCCACCTTCAGCATATTTACCTTTCCTGAGCTAAAATCAGTTCTGAAGAAGGGTCACTGCCTAAAACATTAACTCTGCTTTCCTTCCACAGATACGGCCAGACCTGCTGAGTTTTTCCAGCAATTTCTGTTTTTGTTCCCTTTCCACAGAGTTTTAGGTCATGCATTCCTTTTTCTTTGTTTTGCTGTTCTGTACCTGTTAATATACTAAAAATTATCAAAGTAGAGGAGTTAGAAATGTGTTTTCAATCAATTCTTGATGTTACTGGCAAAAAAAAAGTTGCTCTCTTTGATAACAAGGTGTAGAGCTGGATGAACACAGCAGGCCAAGCAGCATCAGAGGAGCAGGAAGGCTGATGTTTTCCCAGTCTACAAAGAACAAAGAACAATATAGCACAGGAACAGGCCCTTTGGCCCTCCAACCCTGCACTGACACATTTTGCCCTTCCACCCTAAAAGTGTCTTCACTTACAGGATCCGTATCCTTCTATTCTCTTCCTATTCATGTATTCGTCCTGGCGTTTCTCGAAAGCTGCTATTGCATCTGCTTCCACCACCCCCCCAGCAGCGCATTCCAGGCACTCACCATCCATTGCTTCAAAAACGTGCCTCACACATGTCTTAAATTTCCCCCTCGCATTTTGAACCTGTGTCCCCTAGGAATTGACCCCTCCACCCTGGGAAAAAGCCTCATACTTTCCATGCCATTCACAATCTTATAAACTTCTATCAGGTCATCCCTCAACCTCCTGCATTCCAGTGAAAACAAACCTAGTCTATCCAACGTTTCTTCATAGCTAAAATCCCCCATACCAGGCAACATCCTGGTAAACCTTTTCTGTACCCTCTCCAAAGCATCCACATCCTGCTGGTATAGTGGTGACCCAAACTGTATGTAATATTCCAAGTGTGGCCTAACTAAAGTTCTGTAAAGCTGCAGTGTAACTTGTCTATCCTTATACTCAACGCCCCCTTCCAATTTAGGCAAGCATGCCATAGGCCTTTTTTACTAACTTATCTACCTGCGCTGTCACCTTCAGTGATCTGCAGACCCACACACCCAGATCTCTCTGCATATCAATACGCAGAGTCTCTCAAACTTCCCAAGGTCAAATTCACTATCCCTGCCCCCACATTTTCCCATTTGTTTCCCCCACCTCCCCCTAAAGCCCACTTTACCCAAGGATGGCATTTTCATTCCCTAGACACATTAAAACACATGATCTATAGCACAACCCTCATCTCAGCAGAGACAGTGTTCCTGTTAAGAAACCTGCATCATTCTCTCCAGCCTACATATTTCTTTGGGTAGAAAAATCAAATCTCTGTGAAGCAATTAAATTTAACAATAATTTAGTGAAAATGTCTGACTTCAATTTCACCAGAGGGAAAGACGTGTTCTCAAAACATAATCCTACATGTTGAATTTGTTCCAAGTCTATTGAAGTTTTGAGTTCCTAGACCTTACAATAAAAAGTAAATTATGGAAAAGCTATTTAAACAAGCCCATTTTTAGAGAATTTCCCTACACAGGAACTGACAAACACATCCAAAATTTAATGCGTTATCCACTGCACAAAAAGCTAACATGCTTTAGGACCAATCACATTAACAGGTATCCCTTCAAGTCTGATCCTATTATGCTGGAAGTAGTCCCTACCATTTATAAACACTGGTCTTTAACAGCAACTGTGCCAAAATGGCTTCACTGTTGGTTGAGTCTGGAGTTGGCGAAGCAATGGCAGAAGGGCATCGCAGCGACATCGATGAGGTGGTCCCAGTGGCGACAGATGCAACTGTGACGTTGGTGGATCCAGCAGAGGCGTCAGACAGGCGGTGGCGGAGGAGAATCAGCAGCGAAAGAGGGTGCCTGAAGAGTGGTAACTTCAATGTTGGTTGCGTCTGGTACAGACAGCGATGAAGCAGCGGTGGATGGATGACAGCGCATGCACTGTTGATGATGAACTGGCTCAGGATTGCAGGACTCTAAGTTATACCTTCCTATCTTTTTTTCTTATTCTTAAAACTATTCAAAATAGTCAGATCACGATACCTGTGAAAAAGCTTATTGTTTTCTCACTGTAAAATACATGTGACAATAAAATCATGAATACCTTCATAATAAACAATCAGCTAAGATCTATTAATCATCATGTGGCATACATGACTTAGAAAAAAAATGCACAGCAGTGAGATTTGAGGCAACCAATGAATCTCGAGGTTGTGGTCCATGAGTTTTTCTCTATCGGTTATGATCACCATGAAAACAAGCTAAACAATTACTAACTCGTGCCAGGGAAAGAAGGGAATCAAATTCCACTGCACCCAGCTCCCATCCTCTGTCTCCAACACACTTCACTGAGTTCCCCATCTCAGCAGGAAAGGGAAAATAGAGGGAGAATTATCCACGGGTTATATCTCATTCTTCCCAGAAATCGCCTTTATAAGATGGAAGAGGTAATTGCAAAAAAAAATTGAACTGATGTATTATTGTGCTACCAGCTGATTATATTCTTAAATATACAGACCTTTGATGAGAAAAAAAAGTACTTATTCAGAATATTATCATTTGATGATTTTTTTCAAAATGTATTCTAGATGTAGTTTATCATTGATAGTTTCACAGGTCATTTACACCAGGTTGACATTGTAGATCTACACAGTTACCTTCTCATTGTTGTAGTATGACAAATTCTCACCATCAAACTTAACCCATCGTTTCTGGAACACACAATTCCTGTAATAAAGTTGAAATAAAAGCAATGTGACTAAATGCTGTCAGTCAGTCAATATTTAGTTAAATATACATAGTTACATTGAAACCAAAACATTGAAACACACACAAAAGAAAATTCTTCAGCATTCGTGGCACCTCATTGGAAGGTGGTGATATAGTTCTAAGGTCACTGGACACCGTAGAAAACCAGAATTCCAGAGTATTATACTAAATAAAAACCAAAAGAATTGCAGATACTGCAAATCCAAAACAAAAACGGAAGTTGCAGTTGTGAGGAAGGGTTACCGGACCAGAAACATTTAACACTGATCTCTCTTCACAGATGCTGCCAGACCAGCTGAGCTTTTCCTGCAACTTCTCTTTACATTCCACAGTATTATTTTGGTGACATGGGGTTTGAGTCCCACCGTGGCAGGCAGCAATAAATTCAATAAAAATCCAGCAGTAAAAGCTAGTCTGATGGGCCACTCTGTAACCATTGTTGAATACTGTAAATACTCATCTAGTTCATTTGTACTTCAGGGAAGGAAATCTGCCATCCTCCCCCGATCTCCCCAACATATGACTCCAGGCCCACAGCAATGCAGTTGACTCTGAACAGTGCTCTGATATGTCCGATCAAACTACTCATTTCAAGGACGATTTGGAATAGGCAATAAACACTGGCCCAGCCAATGATGTTCATATCCCCATAAATTTTAAAAAGTTATAATTACCTTCAAAAAAATTCTGTTAGTTGTGAAAAGGTGCACTTTAGACCTATTACAGCGAAAACCGAAAGAGTTTAAATAATGGAATTAGAAGTATATTACATGTTAATAAACATTATATATTAATAAACTGGTTGAAAGTCATAAGTTCCACAATACCTTCATCAACCGCTTCTTGGTTAGAATAGCTTGATCAGGATTGGCATCAGTACAGTTGTAGGTATATAATGCTCCCATAGTCCAGCTACCAGCATGTGCACATATTCTCCCACCAAGACAATGGATGCATGTCATTTTGTTCCCAGGCCAATTGAAGGCTTCATTTTTAACCACTAACCAATTTGAACTTTTGGTTTATTGGATGAAAAGGCTTTGTGCAGAAAACTCGCACAGCCAGATTAGCTTCGATGAGAATGTAACAGGGCACTTCACTTCAGAGTCATGGATTCATAACCCATATTGGAAGAATTTCTTTTCCTGAAACATTTTGTCAATGATTCTGACTTTGCTGGCTCTCCCACCAACTAACTGGTTGTTGGAGGAGAAAGTACCCATGCATATCATCACATGAACCCTACTGTTAAGAATGGTTGCTTTCAGTAATTGCAACATTTCTCCCCCAATAACTAATTTTGTTGAAAAGGAGACAGTTAATGGCACCATTTTTTAAAAAGAAAAATGCGAAATTGATGGACAGATGGACTGAAAAGGATCTCTCACTTTAAATGATCTGGCAGTGACATTGCGTCTGGGCATGTGCAGGAAAGTGCCCCAAATTCTGTGCCACAAACCATGAGGTCTTTTTTTAAAAATCTTAGGTAATGGTCTCCAGTGATTTGCCCACTATTGACGTTAGACTGACTGGCTTGCAGTAACTAAATCTACAGCACTCTCTTAGTTTGCAAAGAAATATAACATTGGTCATTCCCCAGTCCTTTGAAAGCACTCCTATATCCAAAGGGGATTTGATTACACTGGAGGGAGTGTAGAGTTTTACTTCTGAAGAGAGACTGGATAGACTGGCATCGTTTTCCATGAAGCAGAGGAGACATGATTGAGATGTGTAAAATTATGAAGCACAAAGACAGAGTAGGCAGGAAGGTTCCCCTTGGTAGAGGTACCAATGACAATGGCACAGATTTAAGGTAAGGAGGAGGTTTAGAGGAGATGTGAGGAAAGTATTTTTTCCATCCAGAGGGTAGTGGGAATCTGGAACCCTCTGCCTGTAAGGGTGGTAGAGGCAGAAACCCTCATTAAGAACCATCATTTAAGAAATATTTAGAGGTACATGTGTGATGCCAAGGCATATTCGGCTTTGGGCCAAATGATGGAAAATGGGATAGTTATGTGATTGAGTCCATACAAATCAAAAACAATGGGCTAATGAGCCTTTCTCTATGCTGTAGATCTCTATGACAATGATTAAGACTGAGGTCAGAGGTCGTGCTTTCTCCACTCATGTTTCTTCAGCAATCTGAAGTGCATTCAATCTCGACTAAGTAGCTTGCAACTTTGAGGGATATCAATGTATTTTAGTGCCTCTTTTCTAGTTATGTCCTATCCAACATCACCACTTTTCTTCTCGACTATTGTGACAATATCTTATTAACTACACCCTCTTCTTTAAAGGACAGTTGCACAGTACTCATTCTGTACCTCAGTCATGGCTTCACATCCACCAGAAGATTTCCTTTTTTTGCCCCAATTGGTCCTCTATTTCTTCAAGTATTTTTTTAAAAGTTGTATGTTTATAAACATTTTAGAATTTATGAAAAGACTACAGGCTGCCACTTTTACCCCTAGGAGGTACCCTGTCTACTTCAGATTATCTTGAAGGGAAAAAATAATCTGAAAATATTGAGGAATAGGGGAAGCAAATTGCCTCTTGGTGTTACTTTGCAGTAAACCCATGCTTGCAAAACTCAGAACAGTGGCCAACATTAATTATGATTCTAGCATTATACAACACTCACTGAACAACCCTGATTGTACTAAGAATTGTACCAGGAAATAACTTAAGATAACTTAAGTCAGGTTCCCAGCATGGTTCATTTATGTATGCCAAAAGCTACATTTATTTGCATATAGTGTCCTGGGTTTTGCAGACAAACAGAATATGTTCGCGCACTGCGCCGTCTTTACTGAGCAAATGGCTATAGAGAAAGCCAATCCCTGCTGTAACAGCCTGAACAGAGTCAAAAATGCCAATTTTGAAATTAATCAGTTAATTAAGACCACACAAATTGTTAACCGTATCTCCATATCCAATTATAACCCAACCAATCATCATGCGCTTTTCATGCTTTATACATTGCTGCTTCCTTTCTTAAAACTGTCTATTTCTGAGTTTCAGGCCTCACAAGTGCAAGACAAAAGCTTCAACTTCATGTCTTGTTGTAGCAATGTTTAACTTCTCTGATACAAAATAATTCTTTCTCTATATCCACTTCTTAACACTGAAAACATTGGAAAATAAGCTTAGAAGATTGCTATGGATTATAATAGCCAGCCTGAACACTTGCAAAATATGGTCCGCAGCAAGTGGGATAACTACATCTAATATTAAAAGCAAGCAATGTAGAACAGCCTACCAGAAACTTTCTTATTCCTCTCCCCATAATACACTCTGAAACAGCACTGGCATGACTTTCTAACACCCAAATTACCTATTGTTTGGCCAAAACGTTTTGCCTTGATACGAAAGTTTAGTAAAACGGCAGCATGACTTTAAAGACAACTTTTTCATTTACGACTTTAACAAATAGATTGAAGGTCCTTTTCTAACGTCAGCCCCAAAAGTACATCCTGGAATCTTTTAACAATGCACATTTGTAAGTCTGTAGATGATACTAAGATTGCGGGAGGGACAGGCAGTATTGAGGAAGCAGGAGACAGCAGAAGGACTTGGACAGGGTAGGGGAGTCGGCAAGGAAGTAGCAGATGAAATACAAAAAGTGGGAAAGTGCAAGGTCATGGAGTATAGAAGGATGAGGGGGGGGATATGACTGAAATTTACAGAACACTGAGGGGCCTGGAAGGAGATTATGTCTCCAGCAGTAGGAAAGAAGAGGACCTAAGGGCACAGCCTCAGAGTGATGGGATGAACCTTTAGAACTGAGATGAGGAGGAAGTTCTTCGACTAGAGGGTGGTAAATCTGTGCAATGCATTGCCACAGAAGTCTGTGGAAGCCAAGTCATTGTGAGTATTTAAGAGATAGATACGTCCTTGATTGGTAAGGAGATCAAGGGTGACAGGGAGAAGGCAGGAGACTGGGTTTGAGAAACATCAGCCATGATTGAATGGCAGAGTAGACTCAATGGGTCGAATGGCTAATTCTGTTCCTATATCTTATGATCTTATGTATTTTTCAAATTAAAATTACAGATTCAAAACAGTGATGGTAATGATGATACCAATCAACTCAAGTTCTCGTTAATTTATTTTTGCAGTGCGTAGTCTATGGTTTACATACGGGTGCACATAAGCAGTTGCCACAATGGCTCAGTGGTTAGCACAACTACCTCACAACGCCAGGGACCTGGGTTCAATTCCAGCCTCAAGCGACTGTCTCGGTGTAGAGTTTGCACATTCTCCCAGTGTCTGTGCAGGTTTCCTCTAGGTGCTCTAATTTCCTCCCACAGTCCAAAGATGTGCAGGTTAGGTGGATTGGCCACACTAAATTGCCCACAGTGTCCAGAGATGTGCAAATTAGGTGGATTATCTGTGGGAAATGCAGGGTTGTACGGAGGTGAGTCTGGGTGGGATGCTGTTTGGAGAGTCAGTGAATGGCCTGTTTCTGCACTGTAGGGATTCTATGATAAGTATTTCTCAAAAGGAGCAAATGTCTACCACATTTGTTGTCTGAATGCTGTGTAACAAAGCATCTTACAGGGAGGATTGCACCAAGCACATCAACAAATGCCACATTTGCCAAAGGTGGCTGATACTGGGTTTAAAAAAAACTTCCCTTTCATACTTTGCGTTCTCTAGATAATCTTATTTTTCCATGTGACTGGTACAATGGAATATGGAATTCTCATTCCTTTTTCACAATTCCCATTTTCAGAAAAACCCGAAAAAACAACTAAATGGTTTAGATTTTTAAAACTTGACATATCTGTGGCATGACTGGATTGGACAAAGTAGTTGTGAGAACCATCAAATATGCTGATTCAGGGTGGCATGGTGGTTAGCACTGCTGCCTCACAGCACCAGGGACCCGGGTTCGATTTCAGCCTCGGATGACTGTCTGTGTGGAGTTTGCACATTCTCCCCATGTCTGCGTGGGT